CAAATCTTATACGGCTGTTATTTAGATAAACATTGATGAGAAAGACGCGTTTCCGATGTCCGGCGACGCTATGATCTGCTGTGCGGCCATCACGAGTACCCATCGCATGTGTAACCGAGACAAAACGCTGCTTGAAGGTCGCATATTAGTGTCATATGTACAAAAGATCCAATTTCTGCTGGGAAGACAGCCGTCAAGAAGAGAAGAGAAATGCCAGCACTTGTCGAGTTCTCTTTTGCCATAGTGCAGTGATTCCTCATCTTACAGAAAAGTACGTATCAGTTGAAGTGTGTTTGGTAGAGAGTAGTAGTACGTGTTTCGATCTCAGGTAGTATCCCGAAGACGTAACTGTGCTTGTTATGTTTTTTTTTCCACGGTGATAACACTAATGCTGTTATCCTGTTGCAATACAGTAACGTAATAATAAGGTCGTTATTTACGGAGGTAATTGGTCATGCGAAGGAGCAGCGTGCGCAGCAGGTTGGTAAGGCATCCTGCAGGCCTCTCCACAAGGTAGCTTTCAGAATCCTTTTTTACGAGATAGCCACGGTTGAAGGACAACGTATGACGAGACTACAAGAACGTCATGCCGTGGTTGGTCCTATATCGTCACGACGCAGACTAACCAACCGCTGTTAACACAACTGTTAAATCGTTTGCGGTTCATGTTTTTAACATCCGTTTGCTTGGGGTAGAAAACGGATTAGGTGGTAACAGATTGATGAAAAACTCCGAGGAATCGCCCCGATGTGGTAGACTCACGAAATTGGGTATAGGTTCGGAAATAGCCAGGCCTCGCCCATCTATATCAACTAATTGACCCAAGTTCCTTCATTTCCCCCGTCCTATGCGTTTAGGCACCGACTTCACCTAGCAATCTGTTTTCTTCCTCGACCTTAACATGGAAGATTCAACCTCAACCGAGCGCGAAAATGCGGACTTGTTACGCCGAGAGGGGCGGCGCTGGAAACGTGGTACGGCCGAGAAGCTCGACAAGTGAACCTCAGCAGCGCAGCACTCAGACCCGTCTTTCACCCGCTGGTCCCCAGTCCAGCCTAGGAGACGTACGGAGATCAACCCGGCGGTTGTTTAGGAGTCTCAGCATATGAGAACAGTACGCAGCTGGATGCGTCTGCGCGTCGTACTGCCCAGAGGGAAAGCAAAATAATTGTATGATCCAGTCTAGCTTAGGCATCAGGTGTTGTCTGGAACAGACTCCCGTTACTTGATATCTAGCCCGCAATAAGAGACCGATTCATCGCGTCCTTTTTCGCCGAAATATGCAGCCGTGGTACTCTTATCGGATAGGCCTGGGCGAGTACAAGTCTTTCGGAATGTGCTTTGAAGTCCGCGTGTGCTGGCGAGTGCCCTCGCTGCCATAAGCTGCGTCGCATCAATACTTGCATGTGGCACACAAGAGGAGTTGGATGCAATGCCGCTAAGGACCCAACAGGTGGGGAAGGCATTGGCCAAAGCACATGTAATTGGTTTAGAGTACTCCCCACCGTCCTATTTCTGACGACGAATAGGATTGCGGGTTTGCCGTCCGTTTGCTGCCCGCCAATCAGAATGCAGCTTGCCGACACCAATCCATGACCGATGCTGTTTGTCGTCAATAGATTGGAGGAATAGGAGAGGACGCAGGTTCGGCGCTCTCTGTTGACATATACTCGTGAAAGGGAACCGAGATAGTGCTAGAAGCCGTCTCCAGGGAGAAACTAAAAATATGACTACTGCCTTATAACTTACGCAGGGAGATGGGGGCTGTTGCTGGAGTTAAGCCGACGTTCCGATCTGCGTTTGTGCCGTACAGATTAGGAAAGACACTTCTTATCGGGTTCATGTGGGGAAGAAAGCGCGTGCCCTAAATAGGATGCTCAGTTTAGTCTGTCGTTTCCATTGAGTTCAGCAGTTATCACACTGTTCGTCATGATTCTTCATCTGGAAAATCTCCGTTTCTAAAGATCGAGAAATTCCTTCGAACTTTTTCGGCATCTCGGGGGCGAAGAGGAATCCGCTGAGGTTTATACGTATGATCCTCGCTTAAAGCAGGAGTAGGCTCGTTTTCTCCGTGGCTGGCTTGCCCACCATGTTTCAGGTCACCCAGATTACTATCATTAGGTCCGTGGTAGTTCGAGATGCAAGCGTTCTTCCCACCTTCTGTTGACTAATTCCTCCCATGGGGGTCCTGCTAGCTATGTGATAGTTCTGGCCCCATTCCTATGCATTAAGGTGACTGATTAATAGAAACTTATCAGCTTTGGTCGACAGTAATGGTCGCCTAGCGTGTCATTAAACCGTCTGATCACTTCCTTCGTCTTGTCCGCAATCCCAAATAACTCACACCGCGGCAAGTTCCTGCCCAACTGGGGAGGAGTGGTTGGACTCAATTCCAAGCCGGCGTTACCTTCTAAGCTCCCAGGGCGGGCTCAAGGCCACTCGTCTGCTATGTTCCGTTTTCTTGACGACTGTACTTCGCCCATGCTCGTGTCCTAAAAAGGATCCGTGAATGGTGGCCGCCTGAAGTCTTACCGTATAGATCGAACGGGCCTGTAGAGGGTTTGGACACCATGTAGAGACAGTGGCACGAGCGCGAGCTTTTGGTTTTCCGTTTGTCGTTCGTCCTTTTTAGATTAAGGGGTCTATCTAGTTTCATTATCTATATCCGTATCTAGTACTCGAGTGGATGGTTTCGGCTTGACGCCATGATTGCTTAGGTGTTACGGCCCAACCAGTTGGGGTATTGGCCGGCGTAACTATATAGTGCAGAACAGGGGATAATGGTGCAGGCGCATCATTACTGAAGCTTTTGCTTTGTGGTGCAGTTGGTTGCCCTGAGCTGCTCGTAACATTAGGTTAAGGGGGCTCCGGGTGGTTTGCGTATCTTGCTCATATGAACGATGTGCTGTTTGCTTACCTGTCTCGAAGACAATCCCGTCCCGGTCAGTCCACTAATAGTAGGCTCAACGAGCCACGCTAGAATGGACGGTGGCTTCCACATGGCTTCCACGTGGCTTTTGCATTATTACCTGGAAGGTTCATATCGTCGACATATCCTATCGTTGTAAATTTTTGTATTCACGGCAGCAAGTCTCTCGTAAAGGGTTGATATACAAACCATAAAGAGAACAGGACGAATTAGCTTTCTTGGACATCCCTACCCCGTGGTTGAATAGGTTCTGATCATTGTGTGTCAAGAAAACCTTGGTGATGTGGGCGCTGAGGAAGTTCTCCACCCAATCAAATAGTCTGGTTGTTGGAATAGCACTTGGCCTGACCGTACGCGTAGCAACCGCGTAAGGATGATCGGCGATAGTCATCGGAGTTAACCCGAGACTGGTCTCGTATCCCATTGAGTGAGGCAAGACGCCATTTTTGCCAAGACCGATAATCTCCACTTTATCCCCATTATTACCCCGCATTTAAAGGGATACATGACGATACAGTCATGTATCCCTATGCTCTTTTACCTGGCATCACCACTAAATCCACCATCTTAACCAATGCTGCGATGTCTTCTAGTGATTCTGATGATTCTGATGATTCTGTTACTTTGTCTGATGCCGAAAACTCTTGGTGGAGTTGTTTAGATAGATTATGAGGCCCGTACTGTATGGGAGCTGAAGCCACGCGGAATGCCATCCGCTGAGCCACAACAAGCCTCTTCCCGTGTGTGCTACAGCCGCACGGCCCCACCCTAATGAGTCAGCTTCCGTTGCCCCGCCAACTATCGTCACCACAGTACAGCAAACAATGCGTCGTGCATGATCGCATCATGTCAAATTCCCGCTCTTCATCCTCGAAATTGATGCAAAACAACAACCGGCGGCAGTAGCCGTAGCTGAGTATAACCCATTCACCGCCGCATATTCTCAGACTTCAGCTCAATGTGGGACTGTTCACAAGCCGCAATAGTCTCTGCCTGGCTCGAGGACGTTTGCGTCGCCAGTGAACGACAAACCTCCGTACCTCAATCTCCCAGTCCCTCGACTTGTCGAAAGCGAAAGCCGTCATCACCCAACCGAACTCGATTCAAATGCAGACTTTCGCTTTGCGACCCCGAACAGACACACATGGACGGTCCAAACACACGCAGCAGGAGTCGCAGAGGAGCCGCCGGCGGCCACGGTCATGACGTCGAACCATCAACACCACACAATACCACCAGCTCTAGCAGCCGAAGCATCGACGCGACAGAGTTGGGCCTCGGCTCGCCTACGCCCAAATTCAATGAAAGATTAGCAAAGGATGCGCGTAGAACGACGAGAAAGACGACCGGTATCGAAGCCCGCCAGGAACACGAAAACCTCGAGCTGCCCACCCGTTCGCTCTCATTCCCCCTGCCCGCATCTTCCATGTCTTCTTCCACCTCCGCCTCAACATACACGGCAGCCATCTCTCGCCGACCGAACCAGACCACGACGACCGCCACGACAAGCGTCCCGTCGCTACATCCATCCGAGTCCGGTAGCAAAAGATCGCGGAGCCCTATCAAGGGAATGGCGAGCATGGGGTGGGCCCAGCGCCCGGTCAAGATCGTCTCTTTGAAGCACGGCCAGGCACCCGACGACATCAAAACGTTGTGCGAGCAAATACAAAAAATCATCATAGGTGTTGCCGTTGTGCCCGGGTCGATACGCGAGCAGATCCATGCCTCGATGGCGGCATCGCGACCATTCGGCATACCCCTCGAAGACAAGAACTTTGATGACCGGGACCAAACGCGTAGCGCCTCCAGTCTCATTTCAGAGATGGCGGCATTGGATTGGGTGGTCAAGGATACGGAAAAGGCCATTGTGCAGAATCATTCCGAAGCGCACTGGAACGACCGCGTTCACTCACAGCTTCTCGCCATCGCCATCGAAAGAGACAGGGTGGAGGACGACTCGGACGGCGATGAAGACGAATGCCTCGTCAGCGTCTTAAACACGACACAAGCCATCATCGCTGCGGCTTGTGTACCGCAACACGTCAGTGACGGTGTCGATCTCGAGGCCAAGATGGTGGATTACTGCATGACCATCAACGATGCCGAGATCGAGCGTGCTGCCCGCAACGCCGTCAGACTCCAGAGATGGCCGGTAGACGCCACCCCCAGCAGCAGCAGCGCTGCCACATCATCGTCGGCCGCATCCTCCTCCAATGACGGCGACGTTTTCTCGTCACCAACGAAAGCGACAAGGCGGAGGAGGCTCCCTCACCCGCCCCAGTCCATCAACCAAACGGAATACGGCCCGCTGAGCATGTCGCCCATCAGCGTCAGCATCGAGACTAAGAAGAACGACGGCTCCGAGGACATGGCAAAGGCGCAACTCTCCGTCTGGGCATCCGCGCAGATCCTGCGGCTGAGACAGCTGATCGGCTCCGACGAACCGCTAGGTATCACCCTGCCTCTGGTTTTCGTCTTGGGGTCGACATGGCAGCTCCTCTTCGCCGTGGAGAGGAAAGATCGGATTGTGAGTGCACCACTTCTCCTATATAAAGGCTTTCTTTGGATCCTTGGCTAACAACTCTGCTCTCGAAAGGAACTGATTCAATCGCTGTCGTTCCGGATGGACGGAGCCTCCAATACCTTGCTTGGCTGTTATAAGATCCTGGCAATGCTGAGAGCCTTAAGGACGTGGAGTCAGACGGTATTTCGGGACTGGTTTCTTAGGACACTCCCGACTGCATAACAGAGCAAGCCTATCCTGAATACACGTAATGCTCAAAGTTTTACGTTCTGATGCATCTGATATTAAGGCAAAGCACCCACTTTTCGACCACCCCTGCCTTTCGACCACCCAAAAATGCCGCCCAGCCACCCCATTAACTACTATACCTAATTTTGTAACTATCACAACATTTTCAGTTCTTCATCAATCTTTATCATCTTTTCAGAATCTCTTCTTTATTATACAATGAAGCAGTATACCGAAAATGAGGTTATCCTGGCACTTCGGGATATAAAAAATGGTATATCTACTCGGGCTGCTGCCAGCCGATGGGGTATACCACGATCAACGCTTCTAAGCCGTAAAAAAGGCCACCAACGACGTCAAGATGCATTTGAAGACCTCCAGAGGCTATCTATAAGCCAGGAGGCCAGCCTGGCCACTTGGGTGACTGCCCAGGCAGATCTTGGGCTGCCACTAACCCATCAATAACTGAAGGACTTTGCCCAGCGTATCCTCCATGCGATGGGGGGATACCCGACCTCTAGGCAAGAGGTGGATAGATGGCTTTGATAGAAGTAATCCATTTATTCAGGTCCAGAGAAGTCAATCCATGGACTCAAGGCGCATTAATGGAGCATCTACTGAGGTTATCAGGGAATGGTTCAAGCATCTTGTGATGCCTTACATCACTGCTATTAAACCAGCCAACTGATACAATATGGATGAGACTGGTACTCTTGAGGGCAAGGGAGATAATGGGCTAGTACTGGGTAGGGCTGAGACTAAGTTAGTGAGGAAAAAGCAGCCTGGATTACAAGCCTGGGTATCTATTATTGAGTGTACTCCAGCTGAGGGCAAGGCACTTTATCTACTGGTTATATATAACGGTAAGGTAGTCCAGTAGCAGTGGTTTCCTCTGGATCTTGGCCTATATGATGGATAGGAGTTTATAGTAATAGAGAATAGCTGGACTACTGACGATACTGCTGTTGAGTGGCTAGAAAGGGTGTTTCTGCCTCAGACTGCCTGTCAGCCTTGTGAGGCAAGGCTGTTAATCCTGGATGGGCATGGGAGCCATACAGCAACTGACTTTATATGATTATGCTATACCCATAACGTTTATCTGTTATTCTTGCCGCCACATAGCTCCCATGTCCTCCAGCCACTTGATCAGTTAGTCTTCAGCCCTGTGAAATCAGCCTATCGCAAGGAGCTGGGATATCTCAGCCTCTGGAACGACTCTACTATCATCGGTAAAAGGAACTTTATTTCCTGCTATCAGAAGGCTCGCCAGGCTGGGCTGACAGAAAAGAACATCAAGAGTGGCTGGAAATACACTGGGTTATGGCCTGTTGCTATTGCAAAGCCTCTGATGAGCTCCCATCTACTACCAGATAAAACAACACCATCAACACCACTTAATAAGGCAAAAAAAGGTGGCCATATTACCGACTTTGGACGAAATATGGAGAGAAGCCAGAAAACTACGAAATCAGGGTCAGTCCATCGTATATGACGAAGTAATCTTTAACTAAGAACCTAAAAGATCACGGGTCTATCGAAAACCGCACTGAGGCAACTTCAATCGCATCATCGAGAAGATACCGTGATCTCCAAGAGAGTAGAAGCTCCTGCTGTATGAAGGTGAACGGCTCCGTTCCTAGCGAGGCCAATCATATCGAGGATCAGCCGCTGCAGCCAAGGCGATCGGCAAGGATGGCGGATCTAAAGAGATCAGATAGACCAGCATCCGAGAGTGCCTTGGAGGTTAAAAGCCAAGGGGTGGTCGAAAGCCGAGTCATGAAGCCTAATGCTAAGAAGGATCCAAATTATGGCAGAAGGGGAGCGTCGAGGAGAAGATAACTTCTATGTACATACGGTTAGTGCGGAGCCTTTACCAGTTATAATGAGGTCAACGAAGGCCTCTTTGGGGTTGATTATCACTAGCCTCTCCCAGCTGGGCCTTGCATTTGCGCCTAGCGATAGCTCTGGCTAATTCTCAAGCCTATTAGAAACCTTATGCGTACCTTCTCTTGCCGTGCCTCGTCTTAAGTGCCTGGACTGCACGACACCGCAAGACTCTCACGCTTACCGGGGATATTGCTGTAATCGACGGCTGGTCATTTGTTGTTTGAAGAAGTATATTCCACCCTCCCTTCTATAACCCCGCCCAGATAACGGGTCTTTGTGCAGGAATAGATGTGTTGCCTTTGGGAGTCTGGATGAACAGGCCTTTAGGTAAGCACGGGTCTTCTCATTATAAAGCTGTTGTTCTCAAGACCATAAGGGAAAAAGGTGCTCTTCATTGTCGAGAGAGGGCCTTGGTACCCTCGTCTTTTTATGACGGACAGGTAAATAACGGGTGCATTGCTATACAGTTGCAGATTATTCAACGGCTAGTACAAGGTATAAGACATGCGGGCAAGATAGCGTGGCAACGCGTCAATTGTATATTAGTCTCATTCCATTACGCCTTCCGATAGATCGTGACGAAAAGGCAAAAAGAAGAAAAGACAAATAACCGGCTCTCTCCGTCTCGTAGCTCCTCTGAACTATACTAACCACACGATTCCGCGTTCCAATACAAGCAAGCACTATAATAGCCGATCGGTATTACCAAGCTCCCTGTAGAGCTGATTTGGCATCTGACTGGTTTAAACCCTGGCATACACCTTCTCACTGGCGTCGATCCGGATCCTCCTGGAGAAAGAATAAAATACCTTGATGGGTGATGGAATGGGCGCTTGGGAAGAAACGGCTGACATGTTGTCCTAGTGACTCGAATAACCGAGAGTGGAACAGAGTGTGGCGGGCGTCTTGAGGGGCAGTGCCTAAGGATCGTACGGGGCAAAGCTGGCTTGCTGATGGCCGTCCGGCACGTCTTGTTTGAATCATTCTGTAGGTCCGTGGCGGGTGAACTGGCCCGTCAGGTGGCACCTGGCATGCCTTTATTATTATGCACTTCTAGACGCTAACCCTACGTTTTGTCTGTATCATGTCAGCAAGCAAACCTTTGTGACAAATTCGATGGCTATAGGTACCCGTTATTTCCTTCTCAGAGGTAAGAGCATACTCTTACCGATAGTCGCTTCACTTAAATTCGATTTGTTCTTTCTTAAGCTTATTATAATGTCATGGACGATCCCCTATGTTGGTTCACAGTCTTGGCTAGACCAAGTGTTTAAAGACACCCTCGCAAATCCTCTGCATATACTCGCCCTTATCAAAATTAGCAGTACGCCTTGCAGGTCTAAAGTCATACGTATGGTTCATATAGGGCGAAAAGACCGCATTCATCGACGTCGCTAGCCAGTAGGCTTTCTCGATAGCCGCTGCTTGTTGCTTCTTGCCCATGATCTAGAAGATAGTTACTATAGTTCGCGAAGGTACCTTGTAATATATCATCTCGTAAACATGGAACACGAAGTTCCGCGGGCCAATATATTAGAAATTAGGGGGTCGCGAGCCTCTATGGTGACGCTTAGAGAATAAGGTAAGCAGCTAACATGCCTCGTCGGCAGTGAAAGAGTTGGCCGTCGTAGCAACGCAGAATACGATTCTTGGGGGAAGTAGTTCGATAATCGGTCTTTCTTCTATTCGGAACGCTTCCTCAATAAGACACGAGGCTACTTCGTTGATCCCCCTATACAAGGATAATCCTGATAGCCTTATTCATACCTCTGCTTAGACATAAGTCAGGTTGCCCAAGGCGAGTCATTAGGCCTAACGAATGTGCTGGGGTAGTCTGACACTATCTAAGGCTTGCTAACCTGTTCCTTTCTAAAAAACTTAAAGTAGCCAAACGGCAGAACTAACTGCATGCCTAACGCAACCCAGAACCACGCCCTCGACACCCCAGGCATCATACCCTCTGAAAAATCAGGAAACACATCCCCCGGCCCAATCTTGTTTGGGGCCGTTGCGCGGGCCAGAATCGTCGCCACACTCCCCAGAATCTGGGCGCCCACCAGCGCCGCCGCCACATGCTGCCGCGTCAGCGTGAGCAACAGCACCATTCCGACGCCCACGCCCTGGATGTTATCCAGCACGCCCAGCCACAGCCAGAGAGCGCGCGAGACGAGGGCGCTTGCCACGGGGTTTCGGGCCAGCCAGGGCAGGTAGAGACCGATGCCGGATGTGCCCCAGAGCATTTGTGCCCAGCGCGGGGCGCCGAGGCCGAGGCTGAACATGGGCACAAGCCATGGGTGTGTGACGCTAAAGCGAGAGAACGCCACGAGGAGAAGGACCCAGACGCCGACGAAGAAGCCGACAGCGAGTAAGACGGCCGACCAACCCGGTAAGTATTTCGACGCGAATAGAAACTGCCAGTTCCGGCCGTACGGTGTGCTCAGCCAGTAGTTTTGCACAATCACCGCCAAGAAGAACCATGGAACAATGTTCCGACGGATCAAGCTTGTGTAGAAGCTCGGGATGTATCCCGGCGCTTGGCGGTAGTAGTCTGGCAAGCCGAAGAACAGCGCGAGGCCAACGGACCATAGGATGAGTGCGATGGGGACGGCGATGACAAGGACCACAGGTACATGACTGTCGGCTATCGTCTTATTATTCAGGCTGGCGGTGCCAGTCTGCGCGCCGCCAATAACGGAGCCCCAGTACCACAGGCCGACGGTGTAGATTTGCTGGATTCCTTGGATGATGCAGGCGCGGAAGAGCCAGATGTTGATGGGCGCGCCGCCTTCGTCGCCAAAATTGACGGCAAAGTATAGGCTGCCCGTGGACGAGGCGGCTGCGTAGAAGCACGTGGCGACGACTTGGACGGCTCCGCGGCCGCCATGAAGAGGGAGGAATGGCGATATGCCGAGCAGGAGGAATCCCAGGCCGTACAAAAGGAAGGGCAGCGTAAGAGTGTACAGG